TTTATATATATGTATATATATATATATATATATATATATATATATATATATATATATAATTTTTTGAGCACTAAACAAATTCTGTTGTGGAATTGCTGTTAGTTAAACTCCATTCGTAATGCTAAAGCAATTCTTGGTAAGCTGCCCTCCAACATCTTTTGCCATGTTAACTTGGTTGAAAATAACAATAATGAAAATTAACATTTCATGGATAAATACCACAATTTTGTAATCTTTTATAATCTGCCTGTTTTTGTTTCTGCTACACAGATAAACAATATGGCAGACTGAAAAAGACCTCATACCACATGGAAGCTCGTGACTACAATAAAGCATGCAAGTCGTCATGCACACAATGAACTTTAACCAGAAGCAGCTACAGTCCTCTGCAGAAGTTTCAAACATTATTGCTGAAATGCACAAATAAAAGAGCCACAGAATGTTACGAGACAGTTTAGGACACTGCCGTGGGTTTATGTGTCCTTCAAAAGACATGTTTTTCTCTTGAAAATAAATGTCCTACAGCACCATGATGGTTTAGAAATTAAAGAAACCAATCTGGGGAAAAGCTTTGACAATTATACCACAAAGCTCGCGGCAGCATAGGATCTGCAGAAGCTTGCAAAACGACAACAAACGTCAAAGGCAACATGGCAGATTTGCGAGCAAATGGGTTGACTGGTGAATGAATGGATGGATGGATGGACAGACACAAGTTTACAGGAGATTATGGATGGGAAGGACACCAACATGGGCACATGGGCTGCGTCACAAACAGACTTTCTGCAGGTTAATGATGGCTAACACACACAGAGGACGAGTTGACTCTGTTTACCCATTCTTGTTCTGGACCATATGGCTGGTTTGGGGAGAGAAAGTCCCTTATGGTGCTCACCGTTAGCTGTTGAAGGGGAAAAGAGTGGGTGTTATGGAGAAAAGGAAGACTAAGGTAGCATCATATTGTTGTTTTGCTGAGGTGCACAGCAGCTGAAGACAACTGAGGTTTTACATAAAGAGTTATAGGCTGCCGCTCAACTACCTGAGGGGAAGAGAAGCCTTTCAAGATCAGATTAGTGCAAATGTTGGCGGTCTGAGTGCCCATCGGGCTAAATCGCACATACTTCACTGACAGTAAAACTGTCAGGTGTGACAGAGTATGATGGCCGGTTTGCACACAAACCACATGTTGCAAAGGAGAAAATTTGGCTCTTGAAGAAAAAGTGCCCCAAGAGAACTGCAACCAAAATAACTTGGCTGACAAGAAAGAATAAATAGCTGACAGGGGAGAAAAGGGGGAAATAGTTTTCTAAAGTATTTTTTGTTGATTTGCAGTAAAAAAAAAGAAAAGTAAATACTTAATGGGAAAAAAAATCATAATATGCATAATATATTTTAAATAACCTTGAATTTCATACAGTATTTTAACAAAATTTAGTGAGGTTTAAAATTTCAGAAATATCCCCTGAAAATAAACCTAATTATGATTTGAATTGAATTGAATTGAATTGTTAATAAAATAGTTTTTTTTGCTGAAAATAAGACAAAATACTTGTGCAGGAGGAAGGAGGCAAGTTATCCAATAAATAAATAAACAAAACTAATAATAAAAAAGAAAAGCAGAAAAGAAAAAGAGTAAAAGAAAGAAAAAGACTTGGATAAGAGGGGTAAGAGTAAATTACTTTTACCCCCATATCTTCTGGAGGAGTCAACAAGCCTGGGGGAAGAAGGTCTCATGCCATTAGAGAGAGAGAAAGGGTATCTGCCCAGTGACGTCTGGTTCCTGGTGGTCACTGTTAAGACTGAATCGAGGGGTTTGGATGGAAGAGAAGAGATGGAGTCTCTCCGGATACTCTTACCTATATTAAAAAAAACAACAACAACAACAACAGCAGCTTTGGTTATGCCTTGTCAACTCTGGGAAGTATTGCATGTTGAGGCAGGTACTGTGCAATCATGTGAGGGCTGCTATGTGTTAAAAAGATTTGCCATCTGTGGACTGATGAGAGATGTTAAAGTTAGCTATCTGTGTTTTGGGTAACAAATCCGATATCTAAATTGAACTAAAAGTACAAGTAGAGTAAGAGCTCCTTTTAATGAACAAGTGCCTACATAGGCAGCATCCTAACTGAAATCACCCTCTTAAGTGACTGATTTGAAAAACTTTCTCTAGGTAGTAACTCAATTTAATGTTCCTCGTGCAAAGTACGCAAGAGGCTCGGCTTACAGTTACAATTTCAATAGTTTTGAGTAAGCATGTTGCTAAGCTAACAGCGCAACATTTTCAAGCATTTACAACACTTGGACATATCGTATAAGGTTGCATATGTTAGCTCAGTTATAATCAAATTTTTATTGATACTTTTTGGTACTGGAAGAATTACATCTATAATTATAATTTATAATTATATAACTATAACTTTCATGCTTTTTTGTCGCCTTGAATGGATTTTTTTACTGAACTTACATAGCAATGCATCATGGGATTGGCTTTCCCACATTGGATGCATGCGATAATCATGTACATTTTGGAACACCTATGATGCCTAAAAAATACTGTATACGTAGGCAGCTTCCAAGGTTTGAAACAGAAAAGCTACTGTTTATAGTAAAACTTGGATGATGTGTGAATTTAACAATAAATAATGTCTGTTCTGACTGGAGTAAGACTAAATCTGATGTGCTGATGATTGCAGTAAAGTGCAGCAGTGCATTCCTGTGAAGACAAAACATGGTGTAGAGGAGGATACAGGAAAGCTGTGATTTCAGACAATAACACAGACATGATATACACCGATGGGACAGTTGTGATAGCTTGCCTGACAGAGCAAATAAATGAGAGGATTATGTGAACTGATGTCACCGGTTCTTGCTGTTTTTACTGGCGGTCTCTCTCACATAGACTACAGACAACTCTTCCTGTAATCCATTGAGCCGGAGTGTGAAATAATGTCTGTTTGTGGCTGAAGTTACAGAATTACTTTGTTTGATTGAAACGCGGTTTGAACATCCATTAATTTCCTGCGTATCACTTTTCTCCAAACCTTCCCCAAAAAGTGGAGAATGAATTGAATAAAGCTTTGAAGTCTGATATTCTGGTGTTTAGTCTAAGTTTGCGGTGGTAGAACGCATAGCCAAAGGTTGAACGGCAAGCGCCAAAATAAAATACCCAAGTATCTGCGTGGTAAATAGTTACTCGCTGAAGCAATATGTTATTTTCTCATTGCCTGTCAACCATCAGATCCTGAAAATGTTATTTTTCAAAGAACTTAAAAAAAAATAACAAGAAGGAAACGTAGGAATTACCAGAGGAACTATGTGGCATCTGAGTGGCACTAGGTGCACTGGTTTGAGAGTGTCCATGTGGGGGTGTCCGGGTAGTGCTGGGTAAGGAATAGGGGGCAGGGGTGATTGAAGGATGGGAGGGTTTAGCGGATAGGAGTTGGGGAAGGATGGGAAGGATCTCCACCAGCTGAGAGGAGTCATTTCTAACATGGCTGTCTGAATCTGTTTAAGAGAAAGGAGCAGATGAGCTCTCCATGCTGGAAAAACCAAGTCCTTACACCTCAAGGTGGTCAACCAGTTGAAGATGGAACACCAGCTTAGCTAAAGTGGTCTAGCAGCAGAGGTCCCACCAGGTGGTAGGTCAACTGATTATCCATCTAGCTTGTACCAGCAGTTTGGACCACCTTAAACTGGCTTTATCTGGATTTTCCAGCAGGGCTGATTATTGAGGCCATGATTGGAGCAAGTTTTCTAACAGGGTGGACTGTACACTCCTAAAAAATAAAGGATCCAGGGGTTGGGGGTTGCAGTGATGTCATGGAAGGTTCTCCCAAGACCCCTTCAGTGAACAGTTCTTAAAAGAACTGTGTTTGTCTTAGTGTGAAGGACATTATAAAAATCTTTTGTGGAATGGAAAGGTTCCATGGATCTTAAAGGTTATACATGGAACCATCAATGCCAATAATCTTTATTTTTAAGAGTGTTAAGAATGTTTGGTAGTTGTTTGCATTGCAATGATATTAAACACATCTGTAAAAGTTACTCAGTTCCATCCCATTGACTCTTGATGGTATGGATGCTTGAGTGCCTGTTACCGACGTTGAGTATTTGTTTTGACAGTTTTGTTAGGGGGGTTGAGAATGAACCTAATGACTTTGGTCTCATAATCAGTTTGGCTCCAAGTGGAAAAACACAGAGTGTTGTACTGTTATCTTATCCAGAGTTCAGAGACAGAGGAAGACAGGAAAGGAGGTGGGACTCCCAGAATTCTGCCTTTCCCTGCTAGAACTAACATGGGACTGATTCTTTCTCTGCATGCAGTGACTTCATGCAGACTGGACAAAGGTCAGCAGATCAAAATGCAAAAATTCTGAATGAAAGGGTTGATGAAATCAGAAAAAGAGATGGTTTTGAAGCTCAGAAGATGAAATACACGATGAGGTTAGACTGTGAAACTATGAAAAAAAGTATTTCTACAGAATCTGACTCGAATAATGACTGACAGGATTTACAGTGACACCGAGGGACAAAGAGAAATAAAGACAGAAAGAAAGACATAGAGTGCCGTTTATGGCCACAGTAATAAAACAGATGGGGGACTGAGGAAACCAAACATTTATAGCAGTTATGATGTGATTGACAGGTGATGAAATGATAGGGGACTGAATGGGCAGAGATGAGCATGACAGGGAAAGAGCTGATTGGTGGACACAGAGAGTCTGACTGGTGCTGAAGGGTGGAGCGTGAGCAGGCCTACAGAGACTGCGCCAATGCGTGACCATGCGTGACCACAGAGGGGCTTTCGCTGTGCAGCACCCTGGGAGAACTTACACTCACACTTCCTCCTCACTCTGGAGGCGACTGGTCAGGAATCCTCATCACGGCAGGATTGGGACTTTCTAACTCAATGTTCTTACAAGGCATGCCAGCATGCAGCCAATCATAACAGTGGATGTCTTTAATCCCCACCCACACCCAGCAAAGCGATTACCAACTGACTACTCATAAGCAGAGTGGTTTAAAACAAAACGTCTCTCGGTTACCCAATGGAAGCTGAGGCCATTTTGGCTCATTGGCTCTTGGAGCAGCCACAGTTCCTTGCTGGCCCATTGGTGGCGCTGTGGGAAATAATGCAATGTTTTCGTAAATGGGAAAAAAATGAGAGAGAAAAAGTGAGCAGGGATCCCCAACAAGGCTCTTGAGAGGGAGAAAGTATTGAATGTCTTTATACTGTGACTTCAAATGCCAGTTTAAAGCGAATGACTGGAATAAATCCAAATCCTGTATGAAAGAAGAGTGCAGAGAGAGTAAGAGGGAAAATTACCAAAAGATGTCTTGGGACCTCCATTAACGCCTGTGTTTTTGGGAAGTCCTGGCTGGCTTATGTTGTGGTATACCACAGCTAGAAATGAGATGGCAAAGGAAGAAACCAACATAAAATGCTTTCAAACAGATCTCCACAGAAAAAAAGCAATGAATGCAGTTTGACTCATTTTACACATGGACCGAAACACAGATTAAAGTAAAAAACATTCACCCAAAAATCATCAAACTGTGATGATTTACTCTTACTTAAACAAGTAACCATGCAGCATACAGTGACCAGGATTTGCCAAGCTACAAAAAAAGGCTATCATGATTTAAAAATGACAAAAGCACCCTAAATGTACCTAAAAATAGCTTAACCTTTTTATCTTAACATCTAGAGACAATTATAAGTCATTTATAGGTTCAATTTCCCAAAGTGTAAACACTGTTCTGCTATCAAAACATTTCTTTGTTTATTTGAGGATTCCGACCAGCCTAGCATAGCAATACGGCCTCAACCAATTGTGTAAGTTTGGGGCGGAGATATTTGTTTGTTCTACCAATGGCAGACTGTGGTCATTAGAAGCACAGAAATGACACCTTTACATTTCATTAAGCTCCTCACACAAAGCTACCTGAGCTTTATTTTTATTTTGCATGCTACCTGTGCAGTGCTTCTTCACATCATTGGTTGGGATGGGCTGAACAGCTACCAGGTACTTGGGCTCAGCATCTGTGAAAGCAAACATCTCAAGTTATTTAAGGGTTCAAACAAACCCATAAAAAAGGGCAATTTCATGGTTCAATTTAAGTTCCTTTCATGAACTTCCAACGAACATGAAGAAAATAACCAAAAATAAGAAAAGATATGTAAAGGCTACAACACACGTCAACAAAAGGTTGACCCCTGAAGACTCCCATGACTGTGCGTCAATATCAACAAGTCTCATAAAATCAGATAATTTGACCTAAGTCCTGGCCCTGGAGAACCCCCAACACTGCATATTTTCGATGTCTCTCTACACACCAGATTCATTTCGTCAGCTCATTAGTAAAGACTCCAAGACCTCAGATGTGTCTATTAAGACAAGAGAGACAACAAAAACGTGGACTGTTGGGGGTTCTCCAGGACCAAGATTGGGAACCACTGTTTTATGACATGACAAGGTTAGTTTAAGTTGAACAAAATATATTTACTTTGACAAATATATTAAAAATATATTTAAGATATTTAAACACTAAAAATAGGGAGAAAAAGTTTTGTTTGTTACACCACATGAGTCATTAAATTTAACATTTTGTTTAAAATGGTGTAAAAGTTTGTCCAATTGGCCATGATTTTTTAATGGCCTTTTCTGTATCAAGAACACTTATTTGTCACGGACCCACAATTCTGAAAAATTCTGGTAGACTTGTGTTTAGTAAAATGTCTTGAGTTGTTTAATGTGAAGCTTTTCACACAGTTTATAGCTCTGTGATGACAAAGGTTTGCTAAACATCCGTGTTTCCACTGTAACAGAATTAAACAGCACATTTGCAAAAAATTGATTTGTTGGGGTGATAAGTTTGTTATTTATGCCTTTCTAACAGTTATGAATATGTACACAGGAAAACTCATTCAGACAAAAAAGCCCTTTAGACTGATACAAAATGGGTCATTACCAAAGTCCACAATAATTTGGACATTTATGAGTGTATGTGTGTGTGGCATGTCCAGTTGGGAAGACGCCAATAACTGCTTTCGCCTTTCGACCATCTGTTGTGCACGTGTATCATATTGAAATCTCAGCACACACTGTATATTCAAGTGAAATGATCCTTCAGCTTGCAGCCAATATTGAATAATGATGTGACTGTGTTTTCCTGTATTGAATTGCGTAGGTAAAGAAGCCAAAAACTCAGAGGCCCTTCCTTTTGGAACAAACAATGCTTTGTTCACAAGCTTCTGGATAAGCGTGTAAGCGTCAATGTGTAATTATTTTTATGCTTGCATCTGTGCTTTCCATTGAACTGAACTATAAAGGCCTTGACTTGAAGGTTGAGACCTTGTCCACTTTAATCTTAAATGATATTTGCTGTCAACACTAGTGACCAGAATTGCATTTTCTAGCTATTAAAACTCTGACACCGACGAACTGATAATTATTGTCATGTCATAACAGCTTTTAACCGATAAGTGCCCGATTCTACATAAAATAAATACTTATTTTTATGTTATGGCTGATCGCTGATAAATGGTAAATTAAAAAATTCTATGCAAAGTTGATAATTATTTTCATGTTATAGCCGATAAACCGATAAATAGCCTGTATAGTTTCTATAAGCCGATACAATTCTATCCAATTTAGTTAGAATAAAACACTAAAAACTAAAATCACTGTTTTAATTCATGTAAGTGAGCTTGGGCATCACATCATTATAATGTAAATGGACATTTATTTTGAGATTTGCTAAAAGTTACATTGTACAGCGTTTTTTAAATATTATTATTATTTTAAATTAACTTAAAAGTTAGTTTTAAATACCAGTAAACAGTATAAAATGTAAAAATAAGAGACATGGGCATGAACAATTAACTATACAATATCAGCCGACACCAAATTTGTATAATCTCTAACATCGACCAATAACCAATGTAGTACCGATTAATCCACAAACAACTGTTATTCCTGCAGAAGTAAAATGAAGCACCTGGCATGGGCCCATTTTGTAAAAACAAACAGCTTTAGGGTACCTATGACCTGACCTTAACCTCCTTAGAGTGAACTTTGGGGTTGTAGCTCCTGAGTGATGATGAATGGACAACAGGAAGTTATTTTACAGAATCTTTTTTTTTTTTTACAAAAAATAAATGTGGTTAGAGTTGCTGGGAGTAATATGTGACCTTTTTACCTTGTCAAGCGTGATGTGTGTCTTTTTGGTGATGACAAATACTGTGGTTACCAAACCTTTAACAAATAGCATTCATTTGGGGTTCAATTACAGTTTGTGTTTTCAAATAATGGAAGAGTTGGCGCAAACATAGGTGTGTAAATCAAGACGGTGGTTTCAATGGGTCAAGGAATCAGCGTTTGTGGTTACTCCTCCATTCCCGTGCTAACCCACAAAACAACATTAGTGATTGTTTTGTGGGCTTCCTTCGGGCTCTTAAGCGAAATAACGGCTGCCTGTGGTTAAACTCGAACTTACCAATCTCGGTCTCATAGGGTTCCCCGTTTTCTGGAAGTTGAATGAACTGCTTGGAGAACATGCTGGAACCATAGCCTAAGATGTAGCCTTCAAGTTTGACATCAGGGTTGGGTCGAACGAACTTCAGAACTATCGTATCCCCAGTGGCGTTGATTCGAACCTTCATATTCTGTCTTCTTACTGTGAAAAGGAATTTGAAATACTTTTAATTGGCTTAAGAAACTGTGCTGCAGCTCTTCAAACGTTCTCTGTTTCTATGTTTGACATTCAATGGCAGTAAAGAGGAACTGCACAAAAAGAGTGACTTTCAGAACAACGCAATGAATAAATGATTAATTACTTAAAGAGTAAAGAGTAAGACTTTATGTTTCCCATGTGTTGGATGGGGTTTGTGAATTTATGGGGTTTATTGATTTATGAGGCCAAAGGGGACTGGAGGAGCACTCTTTTGAGGAGCGCAAATGTGTGTGCCATGAAAATCATTATTGAGGTAAATCAAGGACAATGGATTTCACAGTTGAGCTCCTCGTCACTTCCCTCAAAGCACAGTAGCATATGGACCTCCAATATTACACCCTAGTTACGCAGCATTACATTTAGAGGAATTATGAGCCTTTGTACAGTTTCGGGAATTTGACACAGACACACATTTAAAGTGATCTGATCATTTTCATTTCAATCATGCGCCAAGCAATTCATTATAAATTACCTCCTTTTATACCAGCGTCGTCTTTCACTGCCATTTCATTGGATAATTTGCAGCATGGAAAATGTCTCGAGTCAGTTTCAGGCCCGTTCTAAATCCAATAAGCCACCAGGCTGAGTGGAGATTTTTCCACTTCCACCTTTTTCCCATCAATCAGAACTGTTTAACGATTACGCTGAGTTAAAGAGGCCACGAAATGTCCTCCTTAAACTGATTTAAACTGGTTGGTCTGGTCTGTTGGAAAGTGATGTGTGTATTTAACTTTATAAGTAATTGCAAGTGTGGCAGGTAAAGCTCATCACCCCTATCTGTCAAGTTCAAGTGTCAAGTTCACCCCAGAAAATTCTGTCATTATATATACTCACCAAGCTAAAATCATTTGATGTTTTCGGAGAAAAAATATTTGATGTTTTGAAAAATCTTCATGCAAATCGTTTCCAAACAGTAGCAGTTCCCGTTGACCACCTAAAAGCACAATAAAAGATGCTCACACAGCTTTGTATTAGAAAGTCAAGTCTTTTAGTGAGCTGATAATTCAAGAACTGCTGTGACCAGATCATTGAATCAATGAGTTGAATGCAAAAACTGGATCAGTGGACAAATTCTTTGGAGACCATTCTTTGGATGAACTAGATCATTCACAAACAACTCAGTCTGACTTGTGAACTGGAACAACCAGTGCACTGAAAAGACCAGACTCGATAAAAAATTATTCATTCATTGATCCACTTCTTGAGGTCATCTCAACTGATTCAGTTGCAGTGATTCTTGAGTTAACAGCTTACCAGAGGGGAGCTGTTGTTTTTGGATGTCAATGGTCACTTTGAACATTGCTTGAAAAAGAGCTGCATGAATATTCTTATTGTATGCTATTACTTTTTGTGTTCGATGAAAAAATAGCAGCATGCGGGTCTGGAAAGGCACAAAGATGAGTAAATAATGACAGAATTTCATTTCTGAACTGTCTATGGAGACGCCTTTCAAATCACCCTACATTGAAGCATAGACGTGGAAAGCCGACAGACTAATTCAGTAACTCTTCTTCTTAATCATTTGAAATCAGTTAAGCAAACAGAAAAGATGAAGTGTGTGTGGTCAGGGAAGCTGCTGGATTTGTACAAGGAAAAAAAAATACAAACCACTAAATCACTGGGATCATTGAAAAATAAACTCCTCAGTGGAAAGCACTTGAAAATGAACTCTACTTTAGGTGTTCCCTACCATTACAACAATGTACCGTATCACTTTGATTAAGTGTAATTAACAGGCAGGCGCAGTCTTGTTTCTTCATCTATTCATTCAGGTGTCTTTTTCAATTCCTAAACCATGTCAATGTAGCTTTAGACTGGGGCCAAGGTTCTGAGTCATGGATAGGCTTGACACTTGTGGTAGAGTGGTGTTATTGGTTTACCTGTTCTCACCAGCTTGTCACCACAAATGCTTTAAAAGCTGTAGCTGAGGGATTTTTTCCATTCCCAACATTTAATAGTTTTACATCTGACAAGTATCATAAAAAGCCGCTTTGCAGTTACAAGAGTTTTACCATTCCAGCGGAGGAGGGCTGGACAATGGTTTGACCTCTGTGGTCAAGGGACAATGGAAAACACAAACATATTTTTTTAGGGAAATCATGCTGGTCAAATCTGGTGGTTTTATTTATTTATTTATTTATCATTTAAAATAATTAATAACTGTATTTGTTATACTATGCAAGTGCCCAATTGTAAATAACTAAATTAGATTATTCATGTTCTAATTTCTCACTAAAGGCCCATTAGCACTAAGCGAATTAATGCAATGTCAAAGAAAAAATACTTCCAAAGTTCATCAATAGTGTACAAAATAGTGTTTTTCTCTTAAGGGAAAACAAAAGCCAACAAGCCAAAATCTTATATTACATTTCAACTTAGAAAGAAAAACATGTCCTATCCCTAAAGGATTCAATAATAATAGGTTTTTAGCCAAGTCACGTTGTGCAATTCACTTTGCAAAGTAAATAAAATTATCACTAAATTATCGGATTGCACATGGATGAAAAAGAAAATGAATCCATAGAATCAACGCAGAGGGCGGGCAAATAGCAAAGATATAGAGGGGAAGCAAAGGGGGAAGGTATATCTCATTTGACACCACTGACAAGCATAATCATGCATGCTCTTTCCTGGCGCTGATATTGAATGATTTCCAGACTCAGACTGATTAGCCCCCATCCAAAGCCCTGCCCCAAGCTGTGTTCTGTCAGATACGGTTCGTTATTAGCTTGTGCATGAATACGGTCCAGTTTTTATCGGATATCTGGCACTTGTTCCACTTGAAACATAATTTACAAACACACTGATTTTCAGAAGGGTCAGTTTGATTCATAGCATTCCTCCTGGACTGAAGCCATGCTACACAAGGCACTTGCCAAGTCTGCATTTAAAATCAGTTCCCTTTTATCAAATCAAACAACTTATTTCAGTTGTTTTTTCATCATGTTCATAACTTTAAATAAGCATGTAAGTTCACCTAAAAACTTTATATGACTTAAAAAGTACTTTTTTTAGTCTATACAATGAATGTCAATTGTATGGAAGCCCGTTTCCGCCACTGGATAAAAAATTGAAAAGGTAATTGCGACTTTTTATCTCACAATTCAGACTTTTTTTCTCATGATTGCGTGACACAAACTCGCAATTCTGACTTTTTTTTCTCAGAATTGTTTGATATAAACTCGCAATTGCGAGTTAAAACGTCATAATTGTGAGATATAAACTCGCAATTCTGAGAAATAACGTCATAACTGCGAGATATAAACTCACAATTCTGACTTTTTGTTCTCGCAATTGCGAGTTTATATCTCGCAATTCTGACTTTTTATCTCAGAATTGTGAGTTTATATCTCGCAATTCTGACTTTATAACACGCACTTGCGAGTTATAAAGTCAGAATTGTGAGATATAAAGTCAGAATTGCGAGTTAAAGTCCCGTTTTGAGAGGGGGGGGAGGGGGCTGTTATGATCTCAGAATTGCGAGATATAAACTCGCAATTGCGAATTATAAAGTCAGAATTGTGAGATATAAACTCGCAATTCTGAGATCATAACAGCCCCCTCCCCCCCCTCTCAAAACGGGACTTTAACTCGCAATTCTGACTTTATATCTCACAATTCTGACTTTATAATTCGCAATTCTGACTTTATAATTCGCAATTGCGAGTTTATATCTCACAATTCTGACTTTATAATTCGCAATTCTGACTTTATAATTCGCAATTGCGAGTTTATATCTCACAATTCTGTGAAAAAAAGTCAGAATTGTAAGATAAAAAGTCACAATAACCATTTTTTTTTATTCAGTGGCGGAAACGGGCTTCCATACAATTGGGTCCAAACATTTTTGTTAAACAATTTTTTTTGTCTGCATACAATCGTAATTTATTAATTTATTCTTAATGTATTCTTATTCTTCAAAATATCTTAATTTGCAGAAGAAAGAAAGCCACACAGTAATGAAACGCCATGAGGTTGAGTAAATGATGAACTCTTCCTTTAAATCAGCACTTTTCATGGAAAATCCAGAAATATGGTCCTTATGTAGAACTCCAGGTTCTTACACACCATATTACAGGACAAACATGACCCAAATATCCATGGAGTTGATTTTAAAAAATGGCACTAAACTTCAGAAGAAGCAAATCACCTGAGGGCGTGAAGGGAGTGTAAATCTACTGTTTTCCCAGACTTCAGCAAATCATTCGTCTTTCAGGCACATTTACAACAGTTCTGATCTCTGCACTCAACAGCTGCTCTCTTCTCCCCTTCACCCCCCAAATCCTTTCATCCTTTTTGTCTTGTTCTGACTTTTCTGAGGTGCTCACTTAGACACAGTTTGATATCACCACAACCAGTATTAGTAGCTTATAGACGACCCTTGATTGCTTACACTACTCCCAAGCACATCCGCATTCAAAATGCAATGTTTTCCCCCCTGATAGTGTTTGGCTTAATCAAGTTAATCCATGCTGAACAAAACTAATCTAAAACCAGCCTAAGAGGGTTTGCTGGTTTTAACTGGTTTTAGATGGTCTAGAAGCTCCCAGCCTGGTCATGCTTGTCTTACTTGGTATAGCTGGTCTCCCAGCATGACCAAGCTGATGTTAAGCTCTTTTGTGGTAGTGGAACTAGCTGAAAAGTGCCCAAAACCACTCTAAAACCAGCAAACCAGACAAGCCTGACAAGATAAGTGTGTTTCTTTTCACCAGGGATGAGATTATTCATTTTCAATGTGTCTTCACACTTGCTGAACTCAGCCCCACCCGGTAATTTAAACTCTGTCTTTTTGTCCAGTCAACATCCATAAGGAAACGAAGTTGGCCAATGGAATATAAACAGAGTGCTGCTGAGCTGATTGACTAGCTGTGCTGAATGACGCTCGGTACAAGAGACAGGGCACTGAGCCAGCGCAGACATTCCTCCCCTCTGGAGATGGAGGGGGGTTTTAATAGCTGATAAATGAGTGCTGATAGTGAACCGATAGCTTGTATTACTGATGCTGTAGCTAATCTGAGCACTCAGGGATGCTGGGAGCTAGAGATCTTGCAACGATACACACTACATACGCACATACACCTCTGGCACTGAGGAGGCTGGTGCTGGAGCATATGTAGGTATGCACAAAATGCACTATGAATAGGATGCTAAGGTGCAATATATTCATTCAGCAAGCCCTAGAACACACACAATCAGGTGCCATCATGAAATATATACACACACGTACACATGCACAAAAAACATTGATTTTGGCCAGCTGCACACACCATGAGGTAACCATTATCGCTCTACTGTTTCAAATTTTAGCTTAGCAAAATTAAATGTAATTTTGCAACCGACAAAGATAAAAAATCAAAGTGCTTGGCTGCTTTCTGAAGTTGGATTCTGGACAATGGCAGACAAATTGCACGCGCCTCTTTTTCCAGCACTCTTCAGGCTTCAGCTTCATTTTTTCCCCTTTGCAGAGTTTGGCTTCACCCCCAACTGTAATCATGCTGCATATAATTCCCCTAATAATCTGCTCAATGCACACCCAAATGCACCTGCAAGTGCAAAATGCATTGCATGTTCTTAAATGTGAATGAAAAATAAAACCAATGACCGGTTCAGGGCATCTTGCAATGCAAATGCAACAGGTTAATCATAAGGAACCTTCTCCTAGTTAAAGCTCAACACCTGCAACTCCACAAAAATCTTTTAGCATCAAGTTACAATCCTAATTTTACAAGAACTACTGCTGAAATGCATGATATTATGAAACACAAACAGGTGTATCATAAAAAACACAGTGATCACCAAAAGACATGAGTGCCCCGTGCTGTAGGGCATAACACTGTGAATATGTGGCACTGTGGTGCTGAACTTGCCTCTGACTCTTTGTGCTGAGCTGCATGCAAGGAGGAGAATTCCTGCGAGCGTCAGAAGGAAGCTCAAGTGAAGGACAGTGCTGCCTGCCATGGTGCTCTGCTCCAATCGAGAAGGAAAGACTGCTGCTGCTGGTTATTCTGCTGGTGCTGGTGTCAGGTCAGGACTTCTTCAGCTCACCGTGTGCCTCTGCTGAGTGATAGACAATGCGAGGAGTCCTCCAGGATGTATAGTGACCAGGGAGGGAGGAGATTGCTGATGCGAGCTTCAATCACACCCACCCTCACCGATCCACACACACACACACACACACTTGTGGGGGGTGAGCATGGCTTTCATTTACTGGTCTCACTCAGCCACACAGCTCTCTCACTTTTTCTTCCATCAAGTATTTTTTCCCTGCAGCTTGTGTGTTTGTGTGTGTTCAAGTCTGTGCTTATGTCAGAGTGTTCTCTCTAAAATTTGATTGGACCTAGTACACTGACTTGGGGCACCCCTCCAATGGTAAACAGCCCAAAGGGAGTCTGAGTTCCAGGAGGACAATAAATGATAAAGTACATGAGCAGGACATCAGATGGACAGGAAGATGGCATAAACTTCCCTTCCTCCAGTAATATGACCTGGTGCAAATATAGTATCCCTCTATTTCATCATCACGGACAGAAGCAGTTGTCTATCTGTGCCCATTGCTATCAACTGTACATTACGTCTTGTCTAGAAGGGTGTCCAGCCACACATTCTCTGCCAAGTAATCTCTCCTCTAGGTACATAGGTGAAAATTAGGGAGGTGGGGGGTGGTAGATAGGTGGAAAATGATTATAACAACAAGTGATTCCAACACATGCCACTGCATGCGACATGCAAAGGGAAGCACTCGCTCCAGTGAGCCTCGTCTGGCCCACAGGATGTGAACAAAGACATATTCATGAATCAAGCCGCCCAAAAATTATGCAACTACAGCCTAGCATGTGTCTACTACTACATCATCAGCACAGAGCACCATGAAACAAGAGCTCTACTCCAGAACGTCCCGTGCTCCGAGAAGAGTTACTTTAAAGAGCATTGCAAGCAAAACAAACCAAAAAGAAAAAAGAACAATTTGGAAAACCACTCCCTATCATGACTCAAACAAAACGTCACTCGTTTGCAGCTGTGATCATGTCTACAGCTGCTTGCTGTACCAACACAACAGTTTACAACCAAGTGAGTTGCCAGAATCAACTCAACAGGCCATGCGATGCCTTTGGCTAGAGCTTTAACCCTATGTATGTATATATAAATAAATATGGTTTCTACAGCTGGTACCACTCTGAGTCTCTGTGATTGCCTTGTAAACTCTTAATGAGTCACTTCAAAAGACAGAGCTGGATAGCGCTGAGTCTTGGACAAATTAGAGAAGACTTGTAGACCAGAATCAGGTCATTACTTATTGTTTTTCATACCTGAAAACATGTTGACCTGTAACCCTCCCTAGGAACATGGCTTAAATTGTTATGCTGTCATTTAACTGCCTAACCATCACCCTGAGGTCAAGCAGCTCACCTTTCAACTGAGCAATGGATTTTGCAATATTTCAGCTTGCATCATGCAATGCCAACCCCTCTCTAGGTTATACAGTTAATTTGTAAGGATACCTCCTACTGGAAAACTTAAACTATATCAGAATTAATTGGTGGACCAGCATAGCCAACATAACTAATAACAATACAAATAACAATCTTTTATCTTTTGAATCCTCAAATGTATTTGCTCACATGCTCCAAAAATAAATAAATAAATAAATAAATAAGGAAAATGGACATGTGCCAAAATAATACTAGCCCCTGCAGATTAATAATTAGGTAAAAAATAACTTTTAAATGAAATTAATTAATAAAATAAATTAATGAAATAATATAAAAATGAATGTAATTATTTAAAAAAAAATATATAAAATAAATTCCATCGCCCATTTGTTGCATTGTTGTTGACTTGAATTGTGTTGAACCGTGAAATTTGTATCAGCTACTGAAATTTTGGTGTGTCCATACTAACAAAAGAACTCACACATGACACACAATCTGCTCGTGGCTTCTCCTGCTACATATCAAAATTATGGTTGTTGAAACTAAAGGAAAGACATGACAGGCTCCATGCAGTGTGTATGTCATAGAAATCATGGCTTATATAACAGCTCCACCATGTCTGGCCTGCAAATCGAGCCTTTTAGAAGGGAAAATCATTCTTAGCCTTACAATGCAGCCATTGTCTTTTAGCCTTGAGCAAATGGCATCAGTTGGAATGACGAGGATCTATGAACTTTTTCTAAAAAGGAAACAAACATTTAAAGCCTCCCCTCCAGCTCCCCTTGCTATATATATATATATATATATATATATATATATATATATATATATATATATATATATAACGGATTATATAAATGAGATGTTCCATGACTTATTTGTCAGGTTGAATTGCCTTCCTCACAGGTATGACTGACACAGGCCGTATTAATGCCTCTCAGGTTTGGGCTTGTTCCATTGTATTCCACATGGGTGAGAAGTTAAAGCTGGATTTGCTCTAAACGTTTGGACTGCATGGTTTATATTATTGCAAAAATGGCCAATGAAAATGTCACATTACGTTAAGGGCACATTTTTTATTCTAAACTTTATTCTTACATTCGGTTTGCACACATCAAGCAGTTCCTTGGATTTCAAGGCCTGTTTGATATGTGTACATCGAAGCATTGTTGGTCCCATCTGTGAAACATTTCATGCTAAAATGAAGCCCAGCTCAAAGCGGCTCTGAATTACCAGGGCAAACGTTCAACAACACTCTCTGCTGACTTTCATCAAACTCCAGACACTTGGTTTACCAGTAGACGTGTTCAACTAGAGAAAATAGAAGTTGTAGAACTGACTTCTAAATGCTAAATAGGCCTACTACAAAGTTTCTTTTTCTGGGTACACTTTTAATTTGACAGGGAAAATGTTACTGTATACTGGTGCAAATATCCAGTAAGTTCAACCACTGATGTCAAAACAGGAAACGTTTTGCTTTTATGATCTGGAATGGTTCAAATGTGCGTGTTTGACTTTTTAAAAATGAAACCCCTCTGAAATTCCCTGCTGAGTCACATGAACCATAATTTCTTACCCACCATCCTCATCCACAGAGAACAAACACTCACCTATTTTGTGACATCCATTTATCATCTGTCTGTTCCTACCCTCCAGTGCCGTGTTTTGCTCTCTGACCCAAAAGAAGCACATTGAGCTCAAAGAACTCCAGCATGTGCTCATGGACATTAACCTCTATTCTTAAACCATCAATCTTTGTCTTCTATCTGCTGGAGTGAATCACAGAACATGTTCTCCAGCATGTAACCCATCTGTTACCTAGAGATCACCCTGGGCTGCTGAGATTTGAGTGAGGATTAGAAACCGAACAGTTTGTTACATTTTTTCAGCTGGAAGTTTGTTGGACATAAATAATTGCGTTTGAGTGGATGGTGCCCATAATAGGGGTTTATGTTTTGTTTTGGTCAGTGAGAATGAGGGGATGGCCTTGTCTTTGTGGGGACCAGCCAGTGCTTGAGTTAATGACATTTTGTTTTGTGTGTGTGTGTGTGTGTGTGTAGATCTATCAGTTAATTCCAAAACACATAAAAATGCAATTCATACTGTTTTATTCGTTCTGGTCCCTTAACTCTTAAGGAGGTCAGGGAGCCCCTCTCAACCCGAACACTGTGAGGACCAGCTGTACATCTGGAACCAGCTGAAGAGAAACGTCCCGAGCCCCTTTGCAGGAACAGCATGCTGGGTATTTTCCACCAATTTATTTGCATGTCTAAGGGGAAAAGAAGATCATTGGGTGAATGTAGGTCAGAGTGTCTTTTCGCTCCGTTTTTGCGATCCAGATGAGACCCAAACCCTCTGGGTTTTAATACCTATTAATGCTCTGGACATCTTGTGCATAAATGTGCGGACGTTACATGTTCCACATGTTAATGGTGAAAGAGGCTGCAGTGCGTCAGACTTTAATTTCTCTCGCTTGAGGGGCCTGGATCACACCGAGACTCTTAGCACACTTAACACTATAGACAGGAGTGTGCTCAGTAAAAACCCACATGTGGGCAGCTGACAAGACACATTTCATGGAAGGGTGACATCTAAAACTTTTAAACAGCTTATTTTATATCAACTACAAAAATATGATGGTAAAAATATAATTACTGACCAGTTACTGCCTATGAAACATATACACTTACAGAAATATATATATATATATATATATATTAGGGATGTAACGATTACCGGTTTCACGATAAATCACGATAAAATGCACTGACGGTTAGTCTTACCGTTTAAAATTTAATTATCATCAAAACCGTGTTTGATTATTGCGCTTTTGAAAACTCGCGGTAAATCCTGTCCAGCCAGCATCAGTCTGACGCAGAAGCAGCATGCAGTGTTGTTGTTGTTGTTGTTGTTGTTTTGTTGCACTAGACGAAATGGCGGAAGGCAGTGACAGCGCTCGGGATATTTTTCAGCCATCTAAGAGGACCAAAACGGTGGTCTGGTCATATTTTGGCTTTTACAAGAGTCCTGAAGGCAATTTAATCGAGGACGGTCACCCGGTCTGCTGATCTTGCAAGAAGAAAGTCCCTGCAAAAGGGGAAACGCATCAAATTTGCTCAGTCATCTTTGTGACCACCACCCAGTTATATAGCGAATGCAAGGTAACTTTGACCTCAATACCAAAACTAACTGTGCAAATAACTGGACAAAAATTATTGATTAGAGATTAAATATTTCGTTATCTCACTTGTTTAAAGCAAAGCTTCCGCGAAGAAAAGTTCTCAGCAAGTGGCTTTGAGCTAAGACGAACGATCGTTCAAAGGTTGACATTTAAGGGATAATGTATTGTATATTCATAGTTAACTTATTACATGGATTTTTTTTGTTTACCTAAAATAATATATAAATACGGGGATATGAAATATTGAATTGAGATTAATGTTTTGAAATCTTACCTGTTTAAAAATCCATTATGAACAGTGTACAAACAATCGTCAGGATCACTACAGCAAAATTATAGTAGTAGTAATACTAAATTCCTCTGATTTCATTTTCAATACAATCAAAAAATGAGACGCAAGCTGCATTTGAATGAAACGAGAGAGGGCGTCTGCGCCTCCGCAGTGATACAATTAAGAGACATGCGGCGAA